TGCAAGAGACACTCCTGTTAATACAGCCCACTACTATGCTGTTGGCTTTTTTTGCAACAAGAGCACAGTGCTGGCTCACATATAATTTATGATGCACTGTAACCTCCAGGTCTTTCTCCAGGTTTGCAGTACTGTAGCCTAGTCAACCTTTCCTCAGTCTGTATTTGTGCGTGCAGCTATTCCATCTCCAGTTCAAGATTTTGCACTTAATTTTATTGAATTTAATTCGATTGATTGTAGACCATTTCCTCCATTTCTCCAGGTCATTCTGGATCTTGGTCCTACACTCCAGAGAGCTTGCAACTCCACACAACTTGGCATCATCTACAAAGTAACCAAGTACTTTATCCCACTGTCCAAGTCATTAATGAAGATGTTAAACAATACCAGACCCAGGACAGACCCTGGGGGGAACCCCACTTGATACCTCCTCCAAACTAGACATTGAGCAAATGGAGGACTAATGAGCTGAACACCATTTTGTAGTCACTCTTTAGTACTTTAGTCTCTGTTTCCTTAGCTTGTTGATGATAATGTGGGATATGGCATTGTCAGCTGAGGAGGCAGACTACTTTCTTGGGACAAGAAACATGATACAGTTAATATTTTAAATATAAAATAAGTAAAAAATCAGTATATTCAGCTTCTAAATTGGAAACATTTGAGCTATAATAGACTGGAAAATAGAAGTGACCTGAAAGAGGAGAACAAAGACTCACCAGTGTTATGGCAATAGCTCCTTTGATACTTCTTTAAGGATCAAAACACTGTATATCATATGCCATTTCTTCTAATGTTTTTCTTAATTTAATTTCTGTCTTCCTAATTAAGAGTTAAAATATGAGCTCTCTAATCCATGAGGGAGAAAAATGTTTATGGCATTAATATTTTACAAAGTTTGAATCTATTTATTTTTAACTTGGAAGAGATTCAGTTCAGAACGGACACACATTGCAAGTGCTTTTGCATTAAACTGAACAAGAGTTATTTAAAGAAAGTTAGATGTGGGTGTTAGTGGCACTGTTATCACCATTTGAGTGAGAGTAAGAAAATTTGCTGAGAAGGGAAGAGAACATTTTGATTGGTGTTTTCTGCAAAGATCAGGCAAAGGCTTCATGGTTTCTCCTACCTTTCCAAGAGTAACTGACCCAGCCAGATGAAAGGCCTAGTTCTACAGAAGTCATATACCCTAACACTGACTTAAGCTGTTGTTAATATGGAAGCTCATTCTATGTTAGCACTAGCACGTCTACCCTGATAGTCCTGCTTATCCATAGAAAGGGGACAGAAGATGTTCTAGGTATTATAATACCAAATAATAACATAACATGACTGTATCTGTTTTGTCTCAGGCACCGTAACTCCATTACCAGCTGTTAGCTATCATGGTACCATCTGCAAAAATGAGTTTCTCTTTATTATTAAATTATTCTAAATCATACCCTATAATTTTACTGTGCCTAATCCAGACTGACAGAGGTGTGAAAGTGGTAGGTGTCTGTCTGTTGACTTCAGTGGAATTAAGGTGTGGTCCATAGTGCTTTTCATAAAGAAGCCTTCTGAATCACTTCACAGTGGACAAAGTTCTTTTGTCCTAGCTCCAATGGAAGTTTTGCTTCAGTAAAGACTGCAAAGTTTGGCTTGTGATCACCTTCCCAGCCTGAGCAAAACCCAAGAGCCACAGTGAACAGGCAAGACTGGCTGTTGTAGAAATAGAAAGACATTCTTTGGTTTTCTATTCCTTCCATTTAGACAATCCTAAATTTTAGACAATCCTGAAAACAGAGGATCCTGAAAGTCAGCAGGCCCACATGATTTTCATCCAAGGGTGCTGAAGGAATGGGCCAGTGTCATAGCAGAGCCACTGGCGCAGCTATTTGAGCACATGCTCAGGTCAGGTCCCAGAGGACTGGAAAAGGCCCAATATGATCCCTATTTTCAAAAAGGGGAGGAAGGAGGATCTGGTTAATTATAGGCCGGTTAGTCATACCTCTATTCTTGGGAAAACCTTTGAAACTATTTTCACGGATAACATTTGTGGGAGCCCAGCAGGAAAAATAATGCTGAAGGGCAACCAGCACGGGTTCATAGCAGGTAGATCCTGCTTGACTAACCTTGTTTCTTTTTATGACCAGGTCACAAAATGCTTAGATGCAGGAGTCAAGGTAGATGTCATCTACTTGGATTTTAAGAAGGCCTTCAATACAGTATCTCATCCTATTCTCATAAACAACCTGAGCGGCTGTGACATAAATGATTACATGGTCAGGTGGGTGGCAAGTTGGCTTAAGGATCACACCCAGAGAGTGGTGGTGGACAGGTCAGTATTGACCTGGAAAGATGTGGGCAGTGGGGTCCCCCAGGCTTGGTCCTTGGACCGGTGCTATTCAATGTCTTCATCAGCAACTTGGATGAGGGTGTGGAGAGCACTGTCCAAATTTGCAGATGACACAAAATTAAGGGGTAAAGTTAACACACTAGTAGGAAGGGATTGAATCCAGGTGGATTTGGACAGGTTGGAAAAGTGGGCAGAAAAGAATAGGATGCAGTTCAACAAAGGCAAGTGCAAAGTGCTGCATCTAGGGAGGAGGAATCACCAACACACTTATAGGCTAGGGGATGACCTTCTCAGCAGCACAGTGGCAGAAAGGGATCTCGGAGTCGTAGCTGACTCCAAGATGAACATGAGTTGTCAGTGTGATGAAGTGATTAGTAAAGCTAACCACATTCTATCATGCATTAGCAGGTAAATCACAAACAGGTCCAGGGAGGTGACATTTCCCCTCTATGTGGCACTGATGAGGCCGCAGTTGGAGTACTGCATCCAGTTCTGGATGCCGCACTTCAAGGGGGATGTGGATAACCTTGAGAGGGTCCAGAGGAGGGCCACTCGTATGGTTAGGGGCCTTCAGGTGAGGCCCTATGGGGAGAGACTGAGAGACCTGAATTTCTTCAGCCTCTGCAAGAGAAGGCTGAGAGGTGATCTTGTGGCTGTTTACAAATTCATTGAGGGAGGGCAGCAAGAAATTGGAGATGCTCTGGTTACCAGGCCACTCCTTGGAATAACCAGGAACAACAGCCACAAACTGACAGAGAGCAGATGTAGGTTGGACATTAGGAAGAACTTCTTCACCGTAAGGGTTGCCAGAATCTGGAATGGGTTTCCAAGGGAGGTGGTGCTCTCCCTACCCCCGGGGGTCTTCAAGAGAAGACTGGACAAGCACCTGGCTGGGGTCGTCTGACCCCAGTGCTCTTTCCTGCCCAGGGCAGGGGATCAGACTTGATGATCTACTGAGGTCCCTTCCGACCCTAACACCTATGAAACAGACTCACGAATATTTTAATATTTTTCATACTGCAGTTGTACCTTACAGATCCCATAGGTCATGTCAGAATACTGAGATGCAATCATGCACTGCACTAAGTATATAACTGTTTGGATTCAGAAAGAACTTAAACAAATGCATGGACATCCAAGAACTCTTGGGGACCACAGCTGCAAATGGTTCTCTCTGCAGCCAGGTAGGTCTGCTGGCAAGTACAGCAGTGTGGAGGAAATAAACCAAGCTAACTTTCTGGGATAGGTAGTGTCCCACTAAGCAGAGAAGCAAGTCCTGACATGCTGAAGAGCATAGTCTGTGGTAGTCATAGGCCCTTCGTCTAGAGGAAAAGGGGAGGAAAGTTATCGATACTCTTCCTCATGGATTGGCACAGGGATTGGTCACTGTCTGAGCTTTTCTGGAGAAAAATCAGTCAAATGCATACAGGTACCACTGCAAAATCACTCTAAAGCACTGCTTCAGAGTAAAATTAAATGAATTTAAAATGTCCAGCCCTTTGACCAGATGCTGTTCAGTACTGAGAAGTGTAAAGTGCTCCATCTGGGGAGGAAAAATCCACAAGAAACTTACAGGCTCAGCAGTGCTACACTAGCTAGCACCATATCCAAAAGGGACCTGGGGGTCATAATTGACTATACAATGAATATGAGCTACCAGTGTGATGCTACAGCTAGCAGAGCAAACAATATGCTGGCATGCATCAACTGATGCATCTCAAGAAAAACTAAGGAAGTTAGTTAGCTCTACTCAGCATTGGTGAGGCCACAGCTGGAGTACTGCATCCAGTCTGGGTGCCACATTCAAGAAGGATGTGGAGAAGCTTGAGAGTCCAGAGAAGAGCCACTCATATGATTAGAGGCCTGAAGAGAAAGCCATATGAGGAAAGGCTGACAGATATGGGACTATTCATCCTAGAAAAGAGAAGACTTTGTGGGGATTTGGTGGCAGCTTACAGATATATCAGGGGAGAGCATCAGGGGCTAGGCGAACAACTATTCACCAAAGCACCCCAGGAGCAACAGTTGTAAACTCCTTGAAGAAAGTTTCAGACTGGATATAAGGAAAAAACTTCTTCGTGGTTCGTGTGACCAGACTCTGGAATAGACTCCCAGTACTCTGGAATAGACCCCTGGTGCAGGCATCTACCCTGGAGATCTTCAAAAGGAGACTGGACACACACATTGCTGGGGTTATTTAATTCCAGCAGCCTTTCCTGCCCAGAGCAGCGGGGCTAGACCCGATGATCTTATGAGGTCCCTTCCAGCCCTAAATTTCTGTGAATCGGTACAACGGGCTTGCTTTCCTCCCCCTGTATGTGATCACACAAATATCAGTTTAGATATGACCTGGAACATTGGTTTTGCTCAGAAGATCTTTTAATTGCCTAGTGACTCCTATTTTCTCTCTTTCAGACTCTTCCTCTTTTCTGGTCTGGTGATCAGGTAACTTCACTTGCTAAAGGCAAGTACTGCTTTCCTGCTGGAGCATGTTGCTGCTTTTGAGAGCCGGCAGGCAACAGAAACTCCAGTCTGAATCATTTTCCTGCTATGCAGGAGTTGCCATGAAGGATGATTAAGGGAGGGGAGGAAGGAGGGAAAAAGAGAGAAAGTATGCACAAATTAGACTGGGAAAGTAGGAGTGGTGTTAATGATCAGGTGAACTAACAGATTCTTTGTGCTTTGTGAGGTTGAACTATAAACACCTAGTTGTTTCTGGCGTGCTGATTTTGTTTTTACCTCTGTTCTTTTACCAGGATTACTGCTCTGAAAAGTAAGTGCTGCTGAAAAATTTTACTAATATCTAAATAGTACTTGAGTGCTATGCATTGTAAAATATTATTACCTGGGTGAGTAGGATAGAAAAGCTTGTAAAAGAAATTAAACATTTCGAATCCTCACAATGCCCTGTTCAGTTCAGAATTATGAAACATTCATTGCATTGCATTTCTGTATGGTTCAATGCAGGTTTTTTATTACATGCAAAGTCAATTACTTTTACTAATTTACATTCCCTTCTCACAGAAAAGGTATATTGCTTAAGATAAAATCAGTGGCTGTAGAAAGGAAAGGGAATGTCTAAAACCTAGACATTTTCAATTGTATAAATTAAGTTCTTTGTGTCAAAACAAGCTGATTGTATATTGCATTATGATCAATATAATGTGTATGTTGTTAAGGATTTAGACTGTTGCAAAAGGAATTTTCCTGTACTTGTCTACATGGGTGTGTACATTTTACTCTGCTTTCTTTACATTATTAATCTAATGACTAATCCTTATTAGCTTGCATTGCAGGGATGGGACATTAGCTTAAAATTTTTCATTTTATTTTCCACATGGTTCAAAATTTCACTCCTTATATAGGCAAAGCAAAAGCTTTGTTATCTTTACAATTTACCTCTCTTCTTTCCAGAGCTACTTTTCTCTCTCATAGTCTGAACTTGGGCTTTTGTTCTTTTAATAAAATATTCTCAAAACTTCTTGCTCCCATTGAAGTCAATGAATCAGAGACAATCATAGTTTTCACAGTTGGGTCCTTTTTTGCACTTTTGGTTGGTCTGCCAACAGGAGTGCTAGTCATCTAATTTTTTTTTTAAGACACACAAAGGCCTTTTAGTTGTTATACCTTACTTCCTTAATACCAATCAGTTATGACTTGCATTGAGACAAGTTAAATGAGTCACTCAAAATTATTTTAGAAGATGAATGGCCTCCATGTCAAACAGGGGGAGGGGTTGTTGCATGCTACCCTGCTCAGTGACAGCTCATTGAATTTCAGGCTTGAAGGCACTGTTAAAATGCTCAAATCTGAGCTCCAGAATTTTAAGTCCATTGATTGCTACCCTGCAGTCCTGGGAGCAGGAAT